TGTCTATGTTTTGGGTGTATAAACAATTAAAAAGACAGGGAGGCCAGGCATGGTGGCTCACGCCTGTAATCCCAGCATTTTGGGGGGCTGAAGCAGGTGGATCACTTGAAGTCAGGAGTCTGAGACCAGCCTGGCCAACATGGTGAATCCCTATATCTAATAAAAATATAAAAAATTAGCCATGTGTGAGGGCATACACCTGTAATCCCAGCTACTTGGGAGGCTGAGGCAGGAGAATCGCTTGAACCCGGAAGGCAGAGCTTGCAGTAAGCCAAGATAGCACCACTGCACTCTAGCCTGGGCAAAAAAGCGAGACTCCATCTCAAAAAAATAAAAAGAGGAAATAGGATTCTTTGCCAAGATGCTGAAGTGAGCAGTAGTATTGAGATATACCTGTGCATCAATTACCAGTAGAATACCAACGAGGCCAGGCACTTTGGAAGGCAGAGGTGAGTGGGTTGCTTGAGCCCAGGAGTTTGAGACCAGCCGTGGGCAGCATGGCAAAACTCTATCTACAGAAAATGCAAAGATTAGCCGAGAGTGGTGATGCATACCTGTAGTTCAAGCTACTTGGGAGGCTGGGGTGAGAGGATCAATTGAGCCTGGAAGGCCAAGGCTGAAGTAAGACATGATCACACAACTCCAGCCAGGTGAAATCCTGTCTCTACAAAAAATATAAAAAGTTAGCTGGGAGTGGTGATGTGTGCCGGTAGTAACATTCCAGCCTGGACAACAGAGTGAGACCCTATCTCAAAAAAAAAAAAAAAAATGGCACACGCAAAAAACCCACCATCTAATTTATTGCTTATTATGCATCTTATTCTGGCCAGGTATGGTGGCTCACACCTGTAATGCAGCATTTTGGGAGACCAAAGTGGAAAGACCACTTGAGGCTAGGAGTTCAAGATCAGCCTAGGCAAGATGTTGAGACCCCCGTCCCTCCAAAAAAAAATCGAAAATTAGCCAGGCTTGATGGTGCGTGGCTGTAGTCCTCATGCCTGTAGTCCCAGCTACTCAGGAAGCTGAGGGGGGAAGATACCTTGAGCTCAGGAGTTCAAGGCTGCCATGAGCTATGATCGTGCCACTGTACTGCAGCCTGGATAACAGCAAGACCCTGCTTCAATAAATAAATCCAGGCAGTAGTGCCATGGCACGCTCATGGCTCACTGGACCCTCAACCTCATGGGCTCAAGCAATTCTCCCACCTCAGCCTCCCAAACAGCTGGTACTACAGGTGTGTACCACCATACTGAGTAATTTTTTTTTTTTTTTTGAGATAGTCTCCCTCTGTCACCCAGGCTGAAGTGCAGTGGCACCATCTCAGCTCACTGCAACCTCTACCTCCCAGGTTTAAGTGATTCCCCTGCCTCAGCCTCTTCCTGAGTAGCTGGGACTACAGGCATGCATCACCATGCCCAGCTAATTTTTGTATTTTTACTAGAGATGGGGTTTTACCACGTTGGCCAGGCTGGTCTGGAACTTCTGACTTCAGGTGATTCACCCGTCTTGGCCTCCCAAAGTGCCAGGATTACCGGCATGAGCCACAGTGCCCGGCCTAACTTTTGTACTTTTGTAGGAACAGGGTTTCTCCATGTTACCCAGGCTGGTCTTGAACTGGACTCAAGGTACCCACCTACCTCAGCCTCCCAAAATGCTGAGATTGCAAGTGTGAGCCACCGTGTTCAGCCAAAATAAAATGTTTCTTATTCTCTGATCCCACTAAAGGGACAAATCCCATTTCAGTTAAACACCCAGTCATAATCTTAAGTCTTAAAGCTTGGCGCAAGTTCCAGTTAATGAGAGATGACATCTCCTTGCTTTGACCTACATTTGTTCTTTATTCCTTTATATATTTACCGAGTATCTACATATGCCACACACAGTTCTAGGACTGGAGGAGGGGGCAAAGAGCAAAAACACATGGGTTCTCCCTCATGATGCTCAGTTTGCTGAAGACACAGGGAACAAAAGAGAACTGCAGAAGAGATATTTTAGCTGACTTGGGAAAGATGGAGTTAAATGGGGCAAGTATTTCAGGCAAAAGGAGAAGCAATTTTCTTTTTTTTTTT